GAGCGAACGCCGGTATGTGTTCGCTCACCTCCCGATCTACTGAGCCGACCTGTGACAGTCTCATTGTCACAGGTCGGCTAGAACTATGAGGTGAGTGAAAAGCACTCCCCTCATAGTTCTCCTTTAAGGGTTAAGGTTAGAGTTTGGGGTCAGCTTAAAGGAGAACTATGAGGTGAGTGATTTCCACTCATCCTCATAGTTATAGCCGACCTGTGACAAAGAAGCTGTCACAGGTCGGCTCTATCCATCAGGAAGTGAGCAGAAACATGCAGTCGATCCGCTCACTCCCCGATTGGCTCCCTGCAGTGACTGCCAGTCACCGTTCCCTGCAGGGACTCCCGCCTGCTTCCCAGTCAATCAGCTTTGAGCTGCCAAAAGGGAAGCTGCGAGGCAGGTCATTACTCGCCACCTGTCTTCCTGATTGGCCCGGAAAGCTGGCTCCTTGCTGATTGGCCCGGGAAGCCGGCTTACCGGCCAATCAGGAAGCTGGGAGATGGGTCATTACTCACCGTCCGTCTGCCTGATCACACGGGAAGCTGGCTCCATGTTCCCCTACGGCACGGGAAGTTCCGGTATCGGGGAAGGTATCGGAGCATTTGGGGCGAGTACGAGTACTTGCCCAAATACTCAGTATTGGCACCAATACTAGTATCGGTATCGGTGCATCCCTTATTACTACAACACTACATTCAAACTGGGAAACTCCATCTAGTGGCCATAAGGTATTATTACAACAACACATTCAAACTGGGGGAAAATATATGAAGAACACTAGATTTTTGCATTATTCTCCCAAAATGAACATTCACAGATACAGAAGGGCCCTGCAAATTTGTTTATAAATGGACCCCTGGGTGTTGGGTGTTGGGTTTAGCCTAGGGTGGGCTCTTCTTTTTAGTTTTGGACAGAGTAGGGAAGAGTCAAAACCCCCATCAGTTAACTTTTGAAAGAAACAATTTTATATTTTTAACCAAATGTAACCTTTTTTTTTTTTTCCTTTTCTTCACTGGAGTTCCTCCTTAAATCTAACCTCCTATGACTGGCCGGGAATTACAGAGCTGAAGTATTTAAGTATTTCTAGATTGAAATGTGCAATTCACTTGTTTTGCTATGAGCACTTTTTCCCCCTCACCCACGCCC